CACACACACACACACACACACACACACACCAGCTCCCTGCACATGCTGGGGTTTCTTCTCCTCTTGTTGCTCCAGCCATTACCCCCCACCTGCCTTCTCTGGCATGTCTTTGGTTCCTGGGGCCTTCGTTGCCTTCCCCCCCCTTCATGCTGCCTTCAAGAGGATTTACAGCCTCTGCTGCTGTCGGTACCCTCGTCTGAGGGCCTGCTCCTGGTTAGGACGTACCAAGGAGCTGCCAGCCCCTTCTCTGGACACAGAAAAATGGTCTGGAAAGCATGCATTCGTGGGCGTGTTTTAGAGTGTGAGAAAACTGCAGAATGTATGTGAGCGTGCATGGGGTGATCATAGGAAGCCGAACACACAAACGGCACTACCAGATCATATGTGCAAAAGCACTTGGACCTGCAACAGCCCAGGAAACCTCCCTCTTGTCCCCAGCAGCCAGTTCAGAAGACAGCCTGCTATAAAGCGAAGTTGCAGGGGGGTCACTATCTGACGGAGACTCTGATTTTTATCCCACCGCCTGAGTCTGGAGACGCCAAGGGCAGGCTGCTCATCGGTTGCTGAAAACAACAGCCTGAACTTGCCGTTGTTCCCGTGGCCAACAGCCTTCCTCGCAGCCCGCCTGCATGCAGCCTTTCCTTTGCTACGCTGGGAAGCTTTCCCAGCCCCAGCCCGTCTGAAGGTTTCTGCCAAAGATCGGAGCCAGCTCCCTTGCTAGAATGAGCTTGGAATTAATTGGCCACTGTGGGTTCTTGTTTGCTCTGTCCCATGGTGTGCTGGAATGTGTGTGGAGGGGAGCTGTGAGTGCAGTTATGAGGATGTGAGGGAGAGTGTGCACAAGCATGGTGTGTGCGGTATGTGCACCACTGTGTATGTGCATGAGTGTGCGAGGTAGTCCTGCATGTGTGCAACACTAATGAAGGTGTGTATGTGTGTGTGTGTGTGTGTGTGTGTGTGTGTGTGTGTGTGTGTGTGTGCCTGTGTATGTTAGCAAGAGCACAGTTTGGACAGAAGGGGACTGTGGACAGAAAGCTAGCACTAACAGCGAGAGAGCTCTCTGCTTGTCAACTGTGTCCTTGGGCTTCCTCATCCTCTATGGTCCGTGGAGTTGAAGTCAGGACAGGAAGCAGTGATGGTGGCAGAGAGTCACCTCTGTAGACTGAACGGACGACTGGAAAAGCCTCTCTCTCTGGGGAAGGGAGTAGGCAACCTCAGAACCAAAGCCAGACGCCGGCTCACCTCTGTGAGCCCTTGAGCCTGGTGAGGCCTCAGGGCATCTCCTGGATGCGCACGATCCCTTTCTTCTTGCTGTTCCACAGCTATCCTCAGGCACCCATGGGCCTGCCAGTCACAAAGATCAGGGCCTCGGGGGTGAGGACTGAGGCCCTGATTTCCTGCCGAGAGTGTACCAGAATTTAATCTGAGGCCCTGGCAGTCACTTTCCAGAATGAATGGTTGGTGAGCTGAGAACAAACAGAGGTAAGCAGCCCTTTCCTGCCACACAGTCCCTGGTGATTTTAGCTGCAGTGGGCGGCTCTCTGGGCTGTTGCTACTTTCCCGATCAATGATGGTAATTTTCTTCCCCTTAAGATCCAATGCATCATGCTGAGGGTCTTAGTGAGCACAGAGGTCAAAAGAAAACGAGGCGCTGGGCGGGGGTTCTCTGCAGTCTTGCTTTACATTGTCCATCATTCTAACAGGGGGACTCTCACGCTACTCAGAACTGACACAGGGCAGCCTGCCTGTGGAAACTCAGCCCTCAGCCCATGCCTGGGGTTCGGTGGGAGACCTGTAGTTCAGCTCAACACTGACTGGAAGGAGTCCGGCAGACAGCCTCACCCTTGTCAAATGTGTGCCTCAGCCCAAGAGCCAAAGCTGTGTTTAAGAGGAAGTCAATGGCACAGTGAGGCTCAGAACTCCCGGGTCCCGGGCCTTCTCTTCTGCAGGTGTGTGTGTCACAGCTGAAGAAAAACTCACTCCCACAGGAATAATTGCCACCCAAACTCTGCGCCACAGTGTCTTGGAGCCAGGGTCCTATTGACTCTCAGCCAGGGTGATGAATAGTTCTTTCTCGGCTGCTTTCAGATCGATCATCCGGTTCGGAACACATCTCTTGTCTTTTGCATTGTTCCCAAAGTGCAAAGGTGTGGTGTATCAAGAGTGGCTTCAGTTGTCACTTTAAGATATTAAAACGCATACTGTCAGTCCATGAATGCACCGATTGTCATGGGAATCACCACTCTTTATGGAGACAAGAACTGAGGTAAACACTGAAAAGCAATGGGCTGAAGAACAAGTTCATGGCTGTGTCAGGGGCTCTGGAACCCAGGTCACTTGGTATGTTCACACCTAGCAGCTCACCTGGGACAGGATGGGACGGAGGTGACACCGGGCTCTAGAGGAGTCTGATGCTCTTCTTTGCTCCCCTGTCTCTAGGCACCACAACAAACGCGATGAGGAACGTAATCAGCAGTGTGCATCGGGGCTAATCCAACCAAGGGAAGGGCTCCAGCGCACTCTGGCCACTGGAGTATGTAAAAGAGCCCCCCCCCACCCCACCCCCCACCCCCGCTTCTTCATTGTTTCCACTGGGTAGGATTTCCAGCCTTATCCTAATCCTATTCAATCCTGTTTTGCTGGTTAACAGCCCCATAGAAACGCATTGCTGTGTAAAAGAAAGGTCAGGAGGTACAGGTCCACTTCCCACCTGCATGCCCCGTGTGCAAAGTCTTCCTTGCAAAGATATTTCTCCCGGGGAAGCAAGGTGTGGTGCTGACTGTAGATCCAAATGGGACCTCTGGGGAGCAGGCACTGGAGGGCTGAGGCAGGGGAAAGAGCAATTTTCCAGTGGTTTTTTTTTTTTCCCCAGTTTTTTTCAGCCTGTGTTGTCCATCCCAACAGCCATTCAGTGCGTGAAGTTGTTCAGATTTAAAATTAAGTTTACTTCATGCAAAAGTTCACTTCCCACGAGGCTCAGCCCAGTGCCCAGGACAATGTGGCTAATGCCTGTTCCCAGACAGCGCTGATCTGAGACAACGCCATCAGCACTGAGTTCAGGTCAGCGCTATCCAAGGCTCTGGACAGCTCCAGAGATCGGCCAGAGAGATGTGCAAACTTGCCACGTTTGAACGTCTTTGTGGTCCAGGCCCCCTCCTGCTGCTGAATGGCACCTGAGCAACGGCCTGGGTTTCTCAGGGACAGAAAGGTGGAGGCCCAGACTCCCGAGGGCTAGGGAGGTGCTAACTGAATCAGTGCTGGGCCAGCAAGCAGCTCCTCTGTTGCAACCCTTGCCAGTCTGACAGGCTCCTGCAGAGGAGTTACATCACTTCCTAAAAATCAGGCAAACACCTCTCCTTCAAGTGAGCACCGACCCAAAGGAGCAGGAAACAGGAAATGTGCGCGTCGGAGGGAGACCGGGGCTCCGCAGCATCCTGAGCGCGGGGCGAGCCAGCTGACATGACCGCGCTCTGTGTCGCCCTGGTCTTGGCCCTGGGACTCGCGCTCTGTCACTCCGACCAGGGTAAGCGACCTCCAGCTGGGAACGAGGATACGGAAGCCTGTGGGTGCCCGCGGCTACAGGACTCTTTCGGGAGGGTTTCCCACCCAGAAAACCTAATCTTTTCGGTGAAACTTAAAAGCGAAGAAAATGAAAACTGTCTTTTCTGGGAGGGCAGGGCTGGAGGATGAATCTTGCTTTCCTCGCAGCCTCTCGCTTGTTCTAAACCCCCGGCTATCTTGGCCTTTTATGATCCTTGTAATTAATCAGCTTTACTGGGCATATTAAGAAAACCATAAACTTTTTGGCAGTTCATGGAAAAGAATGTTCCAGTCTGCTAAAAGACAGAAGTAATGATTTCACTTTAATAGCTGAGAACTCTGCTGGTTCCAAAAACCTCTTGGAGGAAAAAAAAAAAAAAGCCAAACAACTAGGGTATGGAAGTGTACTCCTGGAAAGGATTTGGAAAAAGATGTAAATAGGAAATAATTATCAGGCGTCCATTCGTCCACTCCCTAACATCCAGATAATTCTTTGATCTGCTTTTCTTTGATCTTGGTACCATGGGGGGGGGTTCTTTGCACCCATTGTTTCTAATGAACATTTGCTCTAAGGGCTAGTATGATTGCAGGCAGTCAAGGTATTGGGCGAGACAGCACCACATCTCAGTACTTCAGGCTGAGCAGCCGTTGACCGGCTCTCTCGGCAGTTGCTACAACAAGCTAACACTCCCTCAATCGCCTCTGAAGGTTCTGTTGACTTGCCCTTTGTAGATACACTTGCAGTCTCTGGTTTCTGTGGATGGGTAGATAATGCCTGCTTCTAGGGAAGGGCCTTGTCTAAAGCAGAAGGAAAATGTGCTATTGTCATTTAGATAGGGTGGTGACATCAGACACTGATGTCACAGAGATGGCAGCTTCCTAGAGGCTGGCAGGTACCTCTCTCCCAGTCTCTCAAGCTCTCTGGCAGGGCACTCTGTGTGGTGTGCCCAAGCGTCTGAAGCAGCATGTGAGGGGTGTGTGTGTGTGTGTGTGTGTGTGTGTGTGTGTGTGTGTGTATGACCTTTCAAGTGAGATGGGAAGTCCATACTTGTGTAGTGCACTGTATGTGCACTTGTGTAGTACACTGTGCTTTGGAGCTGGGGGGAAGCTGGAAGGAGCCATGAGCATATGCAGGAAAAAAATATCCTCTTTAATTTATCTTTGAATTTCCTAAACTCTGCCAGAGCTTAGCATATACTATGGACTCTGTAATTGTTAGTAGATGTTAAAGTCATCCCTGGAATGACTATGAGGCTGATCTTTAAGAACCACAGAGCCCTGAAAGCAGGCGGTACAGAGGAAAATCCGAAGTCAGAGATGAAAGCATGGTTGCAGTGCTGTTCAGAGAGGGTCTCCATAAGCCACCATGCTGCTTGGGGCCTGCCTGTATCCTTGCTGCCTAAAAGGTGCAAAATACCACTTGCAGAAAGCTAGATGATAAAGGCTGCATACTTGGACATTAGTCCAGGGAGAGTCTATTCCACATTCAAGCTTAGTTTTTAAAGCAATCAATGCATATCCTTTTGAGCCAATGGTGCTTAAGAATATGAATTAGAGCCCAGGTTATTTTTTATGTCTTTAGTTATTAAAAAATAAATTGTCTGTGGATGTTTAGTAGAAAAGTCCAAACTCCTGAACAGTGCCACTCTCTCGACGGCAAGCATCTTCTGAGGTCGGCCTCAAATGAAGCCTTTGTAACAACAAATATATAGTATTTACTCTTGCAGGAGGTCGGCCTCATTCCCTGTGTGCCAGCCTGTCTTTTGATGGACAGCCAGGGTCAGAACTGAGAACCATCTCAAGTGAAATTATCCCCGGGGAAACAAACAGGAGGCAAGTAGGAAAATAGCTTTCCTTGGATTTTGACCAAATCAATGAGCATAGTTGAAACGAACTCCGGACAGCACATCTCAGCCAGTGCGGGATCTTCAGGAGGCTGGAGTTAAGGTCTGTATACAGGAAGGCCAAGCTTTGTGGTTCCTGCATGTTAGTAACAGAATGGTATTTGCTTGCTGTGGCCAAGACCTGTCCACGGGAAAAGGAACGTTGAGAGCTGGGTTTATTGTGGGTCGCTGTAAGGGAAGCAGGAGCTGAAATAGGTGTAGAGTGATTAGAGGAGCTGGGGCCTAGCAGAGTTCAGAGCAGAATCAAGAAGAGCAGGATGTTAGAGCCTTTAGGTGAGAGGCTTTGGGGTGTGGGAACCGGGAGAGAAAGAATGGCCATGCCCAGCCGGGAACTGACTCCAGGGATGATTAGGGATATAAAAGTACAACGAAAGAAAAGAGAGGGAAGAGAGGAGAGAGAGAAGATAAAAAAGGAAGAAAAGAGAGTACAGAAGAAAAGACAAATACTGGTGCTGGTGGTGAATGCCTGAGATCCCAGCACTAGGGTGGGGTGGGGGCTCAGAAGGACCGAGGTCAACGTTTAATGGGGCCATACAGAGAGACCCAGCCTCAACACCAATAGCAACAGAAACCACAGCCAAGCAGACCCAACCCAGCAGGGGATGGGGCTCAAAAGAGTCTACAGTTCCAGGTTCCGGGAAACCGGGAGGGGGAGGGCCTTTCGAGATGAGTTCGGTTCTGTGAGGACACCGCGTGCCCCGTACTCGGCCCGCCTGCTACAGTTTGCACCACCCTCACTCAGAGGCTGCCCACGACGTGGCGAAACAGGAACTGTACACAGCAATCTGCAGCTTAACCCGCCCACTGAGCTTTTGATTCTAGTGAGCACTATTTGCATTTCTAGAAAGTCTAACAGATATGTGTTTTCCTTAGTTTTTGCTTTAAGCTCGGCCTCCTGTTCACTTTATGTCTGCTGTTATCTACCGGATGATTTTCTTCTAACGTTCGTATGGACTGAATCTTGCTACCTGCTACGTGGCTTCCCAGTCATGAGGAAAGTCTCGAGGGTGCTGAGGGCAGAGCCTGGGCATGCAGAGAATGGCTCACCTGTTTAACTCCAGACTCTCTCCGTCAACCCCTAACTCCTTGAAAGTACAACATCCTCCTCTATACGACACACGAGGAATGAAGCCAGGGCTGTGTTGAGCTTAGAGGAAGTTATGACTGGACCTCAGGCTTCACTTCAACCACGGGACAGGCAGACAGTAGGACTCAGTCTCTGAGAACTGCATGAGGAGGGTGTCAGCACCTCTGGAAAGATGTGAGCCATCAAAGCAGAACCAACAGTGAGGCCAGTCAATAACCAGGAATAGCTATAGGGACAGGGAGGTGGCCGGTGAGAAAGGTAACGATTGCTAACAGGGTCAGGGTTGTCCCAGCTGACATGAGGGCTGAATACTGTCATCCACTCTGACATACCCTTTAGGCCATGGCCTGGTGTTGTGGCTGTAACGTTTGACACAGTTATTGGAGAGGGGTTCCCTAAAAGCATTGCATAGTCTCTCAGATCCCTGGAGCCCAAGTCTTTGTTTGAGGCAATCCGCAAAACCAGGTAGGCTCTGGGTTTTCATTTCCTCTATAATCTTGTTGGTATTTAGGGTTTTTTAGTTGTTGTTTTGTTTTGTTTTTATGAAATAGGGTCTGCCTCTAGTTCAGGTTAGCTCAAACTCACAGTCTTCCTACCTCAACTTTCTTAGTGCTGGGATTACCAGTGACCTCTGCCCCTCCAGACATGATATCCTTGCTTTCTTGAGATTTCTTTAGGCATTTAAAAGCAGCTTCTCTTATTTCATCTGGTATTTCTAGCTGTTGCCCACTGGGAACGTTTTCTTAAATGGATCGGGTTGCTGGAGAGGGGAGTTTTTCTGTGCAGCCTTTCTGGAGGGTGGCTTGGAAACGTTCTTACTCTGCCATCCTGAGGGTTTATTCCAGATCACTCAGGAATGTGCAGCAAAGAGACCAGGCCAACAATGTGGACTGTGCCATTTGTAAAACTAGGGGAGAAAAGAAAATCTAATGTCCATCCACAGAAGAAGGGGGAATAGAGATTTGGGAGTCAGGGATAGAAATGATGTCAAGTCTGGCCACGGCTGTTTTGCTGAGCTTTCTGTCAGTGTAATAAAATAGCCGAGGAAGGGCTAGGGATAGAGCTCTGTGGCAGAGTGGCCCAGCACATGTGAAGTCCTAGTTTAAACCCCAGTCCCAACCAACCGACTGATAAACAAAAAGACACAAAACCCAAAACAAACAAATGAGCAAAATCAAAGTAAAACATCTGAAGAAGTGAATTTCTAAGGAAGGAAGGCTTATTTTAGGTCATGGTCTGAGTCCAGAGTCAGTTGGGCCATGTTGTCTTTGGGCCTGTAGTGAGAAGATACACTATGGTTAGGAGTCTCTGGTGCAGAAAATTGCTCACTGTGGGCAGCTGGGAAGTGGAGACGGGGAGTAGACTGAGTCCCAGCATCTTCTCCAAGGCCGTGCCTGCAGTGACCTAATTTTCTTCTACTGGGCCCCACCTATTAAAGGTTCCCTCACCAGGTGAGAGTGCCACAGCCTGGCAACCAAGCCTTTAATACATGAGATGTGGGGACACATTCTAGAGCTGTACTGCAACAATATCTGTGGTGCTGTTTCCTTCAGACGAAAAGCATGGCAAAGGCCTGGAGAGACGATGGCTCAGAAGTTAAGAGCTCTTTGCTTGTTTGTTTTGGTTTTGGTTTTTTGAGACAGGGTTTCTCTGTGTAGCCCTGGCTGTCCTGGATCAGGCTGGCCTGGAACTCAGAGATCCTGGTGCCCCTGTCTCCTGACTGCTGGGATTAAAGGCATGTGACACTAAGACCCCCTGATAGAGCTCTTGCTGTTCTTGCGGAGGACTGGAGTTTGGGTCCCAGCACACAAGTCAGGTAGCTCACGTTTACCTGTAACTCCAGCTCCAGGGGACATAATACCTTCTTCTGGCCTGTGTGGGCACCCAGCCAAACACAACACACACACACACACACACACACACACGCACGCACGCACGCACGCACGCACGCACGCACGCACGCGCGAATAAAAAGAAAAAAGAAAAGAGAAA